GCAACTCAGGGCTGTCTGTCCTGCTTCAGTGCTGTGGCCTGCACTGCATCCAACAGACCAGTGCACAGAGCTCTGAAGCTCTGGGTCATTCTATTCCAGAGGCCAAGCCAGCTGGACTCACAGTTACCTCTCAGTATAGAAGGCAGAAGAATGGAATGTCAATTAAAACACGCTGTGCCAACTGCAGAGTAGATTCTACCTAATGTAGAATTCTACATTAGGTAGAATCTACTACCTAAACATTAAGGCTACATTGTATTAAAATATATGGAAAAAAGCCATCATTCATATTGTCTATGAATTCCTTATGAAGGAATAAAACAAGCTAATACCTATTCCTGCCTGGAAAAGAAAAGAGGGGGAAACAGAGGCTGGGAAAAGCTGAGCTAGTGGCCTGAAGTTACACAGTTTAGGAAGAGAGGCAGTATTTGAACCCATATGTGCTCAACTGCAAAGCCATTGCACCTCACTGCCCATTCTCTTCATAGTTATTTCTGTACTTAACTGGATTATACCCATGCTATGGACTGAATCGTGCCTCCCCAAATTCATCTGTTGAAGTCCTAACCTTCAATGTACTGGTATTTGGAGATGGGGCCTTTGGGCGGTAATTAGGGTTCAATGAGGACATGAGGGTGGGGCCCTTATGATGGGATTAATGTCCTTATAAGAAGAGGAAGAAAGACCAGAGCTCTCTCTCTCTCTGCCATGTGAAGACACAGCAAGAAGGCAGCCATCTGCAAGCCAGGCAGAGAGCCCTCATCTGCTGGTTTGTTGTGGGGATATAAAAAAATAATGCAGATAAAATGCACAGGACCTGGCGTATAGTAGACCTTCAATACATTTTAAATCCTTTTTCTCTGTAATCAGTTTTCCTTGTCTTCTTCCTCTTTTCTTATCTTCTTTGGAGGTGTAAAAGCCTTTTGCATTCTGCACATGATATCTTATTCATTCTACAAATCAACCATATGAGATAGTTACTATTGTCATTCCCATTTTACAGCTGAAGAGCTGAACTCAATAAGTTTTGAATCCACAGAATTTGTGAGAGAGCTAGTGAGCGGCACAACTGGACTTGATTCAGAACAGTCTGACCCCAAAGCACTGACCCTTCTGTTAGGGTGGTCTCTGCTTCTCTTCTTTTCTCCACCAGAGTCTTTCCTAAGCATTGAGTTCATCTCCCACTTTCCTCTCATCCAGTCATTTGTCACAATCCTTACAACATCTACTTACATGCCCTCACTGCTGCCTCTGTAGTGTAACCTGTTCAGTTGACAGTGATCGGGGGTGCTGCCTCTAATGAGAGGCCCTAGATGCTTCTGCCAGTCACCTGGGCCTTTGTGAGAGAAAGAACCCCCAGATTTTCTCACAGCCTCAATGGCATGATTTATCAGTCTTCTGTATACCTCTACCATGACCTCAGAACATTTTCCTTTTTTTCAGAATAAAAAATCTTAAAAAAGAATATGGAACAAGAAAGCATGAAAAGGTAGAGGCTTTGAAAGGTAATAAATAGCATCATATTTAGCATGGCTGTTTGATTTAGTAACTATGCCTCATTGTTATACTGTCTTGGTAGGGACCAAGAACAAATATCCCAGATGTCATGTCTCACCTTTATTTGAACACATTATATTTCCTTCCAAGTAAATTAAAAACCATGGAACAATTTTAG